TTAACATCACATAAGTCATGGTATAATGATCATAATCAAAAGACTAAATGGTATGGTAATTCATCAAAATGTTGAATGTTCTTCGATGGAAGAGGGTGGTTTATAGAATAGAATAACAGAATGAATATAGAATATATAATATATGAATATAGAATGAATAGATAACAGTAATTTATAGACATTCATATATGCTGAAATATATGTGAAGAACCTCTCATACACTCACAGCTTCCTGACAAGGAGCAGCCAGCTTAGCTTAGCTGCCAACACCCACACATCGTGTCAGCAAGGCGGACAGCCTGCCTGCTTTCATAATTCTCTCTGTCAATAGTCGAAATTCAGTATAGATTGATAATGCATCTCCAAAAATATGGTATTGGTGTTGCCAAAAACATGCTATTATTATTGCCAAAAACATGCTATTAATGTTGCCAAAAACATGCTATTAATGTTGCCAAAAACATGCTATTATTGTTGCCAAAACATGCTATTGGTGTTGCTAAAACATGCTATAGCAGTTGCCAAAACATACTATGGGTGTTGCCAAGAACATGCTATAGTTGTTGCCAAGAACATGCTATAGTTGTTGCCAAGAACATGCTACAACTGTTGCTAAAACATGCTATAGGTGTTGCTAAAAACATGCTATTACTATTGCCAAGAACATGCTATTGGTGTTGATAAAACATGCTATAGCAGTTGCCAAAACATATTATGGGTGTTGCCAAAAACAAGATATTGGTGTTGCCAAGAACATGCTATTATTGTTTCCAGAACATGATATTGGTGTTGGCAAAAGATATTACTGTTTCAAAATACATGTTGTTATTGTTATCAAAAACATGCTATTATTGTTGTCAAAAACATGTTATTGTTGTCAAAAAAATATTATTGTTGTTGCCAAAAACATGCTATTATTGTCAAAAACATGTTATTGTTGTCAAAAAAATATTATTGTTGTTGCCAAAAACATGCTATTATTGTTGCCAAAAACATGCTGTTTATTTTTGAAAAAAAACATGCTGTTTATTGTTGAAAAAAACATGCTATTATTGTTGCCAAAAACATGCTATTGGTGTTGCCAAAAACATGCTATTAATGTTGCCAAAAACATGCTATTATTGTTCCCAAAACATGCTATTATTGTTCCCAAAACATGCTATTAGTATTGCCAAAGCATATTCTTTGTTACTAAAATATGACATTTATAATAAGTATTATTATTTTGGCGAAATAAAATTCAAAGAATCATACTAATATGTATAAAAAAATTAATTAAAAATACCCAATTAATATAGTCCTTATCATATTTGCAGTACTGTATAACAACACACAAATTTGTTATAACCTAAAAAAAATATATTATTGTAACCCAAAACGAGAAGATTTATTTTAAAATATTACCAAATATCTTATTGATATCGGAGAACCAAAGTCATATTTGTAACTCTTTAATTATAGTTTATAATATTATACAAATATATTTTATTATAAAAGTATTGATGTGAAACACGTTACAATTTTTTATTTCAAATATAGATTGAATTAATACAAATATTTTTTTAATATATTATAATAAACTGAATTTTAAATACAAATATAATTTTTTTTTTTACAAATATTAATTTATTTAATTTTTTTTTTACAAATATTTTTTTGTAAATATTTTAATGATTTAAATATTCAAATATTTTTTGAGTATTAAATATATTTAATATTTAAAAAAAATCAGATTACAAATTGAATTATTGAATACAAATTTTAATTTTAATATTTAAATGTTAATTTTAGTAAATATTTAATTTAAAATAAAACATTTCAATAATTGTTTTATTTTATAATTCCTAATAGCAATTTAATTAATTTAATAACTAAATGTATTTTGAATCAATTGAGTCTGACCTCTTAATGGAGTCTGATATCATGAAAGTACTTTCACTCAACGGACTGTAGAAACTTGGGTATTATTTTACTGGTTGAGTGTGCAGGGACCTGAATTCATTCTCGTAAACGCCTGTGAGTACATAACACACACGGCTAGAGAGTGAGGCATAAAGAGCTAGATCTTACTTCCCTGTGATTACTCATAGGTAAACACTGATAGGCAAGTGCACATAGACCCCCATTGTAGATAAAGGAGCTACATTGTTTCTCAATATTGCAATAACACACTGTGAGAACTGCCCTCGCAGCATTGATGGCTCCCCATGCACGGGATTTTCTATTAGCGTCCTCCATGTCAACAACAAGCATGCCTCTGAAATCTTCACAATTGCAGTGAATTTCTGCATTTGTGATCTAGGTTATACTGAATACTGTGTTGTATTGACGCCTATAGGGGAATCAATGAAGACTTGTCAGTGCCTAGTTTTCTCAAAGATCTGGGTTCGAGGCTCATTGAAACAACAACAGACCTAAGAGCTGCCAAGTGACTTTTACAAAGTCTTAGTGTGGCAATACAGAGGGAAAACCCCATGTCACAGCATTCTTGGTGCCTGCCCGACATCCAAGGAGCTCCTCAACCTGTGACAATTGACTTTGGTTACAGGATTGGTTACATAAGGAGTACAATCTCGTTGCCAATCCTGTAATAATCCTGCAATGAGTCGTGTTTAATGTTCAAATTACAACCCCGCTACCACACACACAACCACTTAAACCTCTAAGCACAACTAGGGGAGTACACACACGCGCATTATACACACACATTATATATATATATATATATATATATATATATATATATATATATATATATATATATATATATATATATATATTGTATGCCATGTGCATATGCTCCTGGCTGTCTGGGGTTCAAATCCTTTTGCGGGTGTGGAGTTTTCAGTTGCATATTGGCTTGGGGACCATTCAAGCTTGTTCATATATATATATATATATATATATATATATATATATATATATATTATATATATATATATATATATAATGTGTATGTGTGTGTGTGTATTTATAAACTAAAATGTGTGTGTAACTCACGAAGAAATTAACACGTGATAAACAATGTGACAATGTCAGTCCACGAAAGAAGGCTTAAGACAGGAATTTCCTTAAGTAATTACTTAAGTAAAAATATGTATTATTAAATACGAAAGTACTTAAGGAAATTCCTGTCTTAATCCTTTCTTCGTGATGATGAATGTGACTGTCAGACCACGTGTGAATTTCTTCGTGATTTACACGCGCGCGCGCGCGCACACATGCCGAAGAAATATAAGAAAATTCACTTTAGCAAACAGTGTGGTAGGCGGTTGGAACAAGTTGGGTGAGAAGGTGGTGGAGGCCAAAACCGTCAGTCATTTCAAAGCGTTATATGATAGAGTGCAGGGAAGACGGGACACCACGAGCGTAGCTTTCATCCTGTAACTACACTTAGGTAATTACACAATCCTGTAAGATCAATCCTGGAGTATGCGGCCCCAGCATGGAGCCCAAACCTTATCAAGCACAGGACTAAGCTGGAAAAAGTTCAAAGTTCCTTATCAAGCACAGGACTAAGCTGGAAAAAGTTCAAAGTTATGCCACTAGGCTAGTCCCAGAACTAAGAGGCATGAGTTACGAGGAAAAGCTGTGTGAAATGCACCTCACATTGCTGGAAGACAGGAGAGCTCGGAGAGACATGATCACTACCTGCAAAATTCTAAGAGGAATCGACATGGGTAGATAGAGATAAACTGTTGAACACGAACAAGGGGACACACGTAGAAACTGAGTACCCAAATGAGCTACAGGGACGTTAGAAATAACTTTTTTCAGTGTCAGAGTAGTTAACAGATGGAATGCATTAGACAGTGATGTGGTGGAGGCTGACTCCATACACAGTTTCAAATGTAGATATGATAGAGCCCAGTAGGCTCAGGAATCTGTACACCTGTTGATTGACAGTTGAGAGGCGGGACCAAAGACAAAGCTCAACCCCAGCAAGCACAAATAGGTAAGTACCACGCCCATATATATATATATATATATATATATATATATATATATATATATATATATATATATATATATATATAAAAATAATGTATGTATGTAGTAATAGAGATAGGATGGAGGAGGCTAAGGATGACACAGCCAGGAACCTCTCCATAGTGGTTGAGATTAACAAGAGAGAGAGAGTAAGTAATTCCAAGGTGCGGGAGAACAGCGGCGCGGCCCTCCACAAACACCTGTACACCGTCCATCATAAATTATTTGTGAAGGTCCCGTTAATGCCGTTTACAGAGTAAATCCAATATAACATCAGTTTAAGGGTACGCGCACGTCAAGATCCAGCTCCTGGGTCCAGGCTCGGGATACGCCCTTACTTGATGGTAATGAGACCACACACCATAACAAGAAATGTCTTCTGCAATTACTTAAAACTATTTCTTACATGATAAGTCCCCCACGTGGTCTCTATAAAAAAAAGCTAGTGTTGCAGACTCATTTGAGCTGGATGACATTTAGAGGTTGGGTGTGTTAGCAGGAGATGGTGTGGAGCCTGGTGGCCACTGGCAGGTATGTTGCTCTTTCATCAAAAATTGAACGGAAACGAAGGTCTTTGACAGATGAGATGTTTGCTGATGGCCGTAATATCCTCTCATTTGGGATGCCAATTTTCCCCTATTGACTTTAAGAGCAAGTGTGTAAGGCACGTAGATCTGGTGGCGGTAGTTGTGTGATGTAGATCGCACAAGGAGGATATATTACAAGAAAATAATTAATAAAAATTCAAAATACTGCACCTATAGCTTCATTTATAGATGTGTCGCTGGAAGCCGACCCCAGCGTGTACGTGGCCCTCGGTCCCATTCACCTGTAAGCTGCTTCACCTGGGGTTAAATCACACACTTTTTCTAATCTCCCGACCCAGACGTGCATTTTGGTGTTGCTGTGGCCCATAGATGAAGTAGAGAGTTAGTTTAGTGGGAAATGTGGGTTGTGAGTGCATGTGTGCGACGTTGCAGTAGCGGTGTGTGCGCGTGTGGGGCGAGATGCGGCATCGCCGCACCCTTCCCTCCTCCCCCGCCAGAAAGTGGACTTGCCCATTTGTCGTCGACAGAAGTGGCGCGCATCGGCCGTGTGCGTTGTTCTGTGTCCCTAAATCGCCAATTTCCGCGGGTGCTTGTGTAGTGAGTGTAGTGTTGGAGTGTGTGTGGGTGTGGAGCAGCAGTGTGTAGCGAGGGAAGTGTGTAGGGCCATCATAGCCCGGCCAGATGAGGCGACGAGGAGACCGGGGGGCCAGGTGTACACAGCCACCCACCTAGAGCAGTCCAACCCCGTATGGAATCTGTCAAGCTAGCAGGCTTGGGGCCCCACGCCCAGCAAATCCTCTATCCTGGGGGACGACAGCCGCCCCCAGCACCCCAGGCCGCCCATCCTCCGCCCACATCAAGGTACAGTGCCTCTCCGACCTCTTTGCTTATCTCCGGCCACGTGACGGCTAGTAGGCTAGTGCTAGCAGCGTAGAGGGCTAGCAGGTGCTATTTTAGGCCCTCCTAGCCAGGCTAGGAGGTCCCCCAGCCCCCCCGAGGGCCAAGCCAGTATCTTTAGGGGTGACAAACAAACAAATGATCGAGTGTATACAAGTCGTTGGTGGCACATTTGTAGCCTTGCGACATGTGTGGGGGGGAGGGGGGCTTAGAGGGGGGGACGCGCCCCCCCTCATGTGTCTAACAAACGCCTAACAAAGTGTGGTAGAGGGCGGGTTGAGAGGGTTAAGTCTGGAGACACTCGGGGGTGTAGAGGCGAACGGTTGGAAGGGCGGCAACAGTGTAGAGGGCAGGGGGGGGGGGTGTATGGGGTGGGGGGTGGGGTTGTGGGGGGCCAGACCCCCGGCTTAAATATCTCCCCCCCCCCCCCCCCGACCTCCCGTCCCCTGCCCCTCTCCCCGTCCTGCCCTCTATTCTCCCCCCCCCCCCGACCAACCCTCCCCTCCCCTCCCCTGCCAGGCCTGGCCTGGCCTCCCTTGTCTCTCCATCCTCTCCCCCCAGGAGTCCCTGCCTTGCCCTACCCTGCCTTGCCCTACCCTGCCTTGACTTGCCCTGCCCTGCCCTGCCCTGCCCTGCCTTGCCCTGCCTTGCCCTGCCCTGCCCTGCCCTGCCCTGCCTTGCCCTACCCTGCCCTGCCCTGCCTTGCTTTGACCTGACCCTGTCCCCCCTTTCTTCCTTTGCCCTTCCTTCCTTTGCCTATCCTCTGCCCTGCCTTGCCCCTGCCCCCTGCCTTTCTCTGCCCACTGCCTAGCCCTGCCTCCAGCCTTGCCCCTGCCTTGCCCTCTGCCCCTGCTCTTCCCTAGTGATCTCTGGTCTAACATCAGAAGCACCAGCTGCCGGTTGATAGGAAAGTGTTCTGGGTGATTGTAGGGAAGTTTCCCAGCGGGGTGTTAGTGGGAGAGGAAGGTATATGGAATGGTTGCTGGGGCGGTGGAATAGGAGTGGTGGTGGTGGTTGAAGGGGAGGTAGAGGCGTTTTTAAAATTGGTGGACAGGGAGGTAGGTGGTGGAAAAGGACAGATGGTGGTGGGGTTGGGACAGATGGTGGAGGGGACAGGTGGTTTAGGGGTTGAAGGGGACAGGTAGAATGTGTGTGTTAGTTGGGAGTTGGGAGGTGTTAGGTGTGTGTTAATTTGGTACTATTGGGAGTGTGTAAATTTGGTAGTGGTGGTGTTAGTGTGAGAGTTCGGTATTGGGTGGTGTTGGGATTGTGTTAGTTCGATAGTGGTGTTGGGAGTGTGAGAGTTTGGTAGTGGTGTTGGGTGTGTGTTAGTTTGGTAGTGGTGTTGGGTGTGTGTTAGTTTGGTAGTGGTGTTGGGAGTGTGAGAGTTTGGTAGTGGTGTTGGGAGTGTGAGAGTTTGGTAGTGGTGTTGGGTGTGTGTTAGTTTGGTAGTGGTGTTGGGAGTGTGAGAGTTTGGTAGTGGTGTTGGGTGTGTGTTAGTTTGGTAGTGGTGTTGGGAGTGTGAGAGTTTGGTAGTGGTGTTGGGTGTGTGTGTTAGTTCGGTAGTGGTGTTGGGAGTGTGAGAGTTTGGTAGTGGTGTTGGGAGTGTGTTAGTTTGGTAGTGGTGTTGGGAGTGTGAGAGTTTGGTAGTGGTGTTGGGTGTGTGTTAGTTCGGTAGTGGTGTTGGGAGTGTGAGAGTTTGGTAGTGGTGTTGGGTGTGTGTTAGTTTGGTAGTGGTGTTGGGAGTGTGAGAGTTTGGTAGTGGTGTTGGGTGTGTGTTAGTTCGGTAGTGGTGTTGGGAGTGTGAGAGTTTGGTAGTGGTGTTGGGAGTGTGTTAGTTTGGTAGTGGTGTTGGGAGTGTGAGAGTTCGGTAGTGGTGTTGGGAGTGTGAGAGTTTGGTAGTGGTGTTGGGAGTGTGAGAGTTTGGTAGTGGTGTTGGGAGTGTGAGAGTTTGGTAGTGGTGTTGGGAGTGTGAGAGTTTGGTAGTGGTGTTGGGAGTGTGAGAGTTTGGTAGTGGTGTTGGGTGTGTGTTAGTTCGGTAGTGGGTGGTGTTGAGATTGTGTTAGTTCGATAGTGGTGTTGGGAGTGTGAGAGTTTGGTAGTGGTGTTGGGAGTGTGTTAGTTTGGTAGTGGTGTTGGGAGTGTGTTAGTTTGGTAGTGGTGTTGGGAGTGTGTTAGTTTGGTAGTGGTGTTGGGAGTGTGTTAGTTTGGTAGTGGTGTTGGGAGTGTGTTAGTTTGGTAGTGGTGTTGGGAGTGTGTTAGTTTGGTAGTGGTGTTGGGAGTGTGTTAGTTTGGTAGTGGTGTTGGGAGTGTGTTAGTTTGGTAGTGGTGTTGGGAGTGTGTTAGTTTGGTAGTGGTGTTGGGAGTGTGTTAGTTTGGTAGTGGTGTTGGGAGTGTGTTAGTTTGGTAGTGGTGTTGGGAGTGTGTTAGTTTGGTAGTGGTGTTGGGAGTGTGTGTTTGGTAGTGGTGTTGGGAGTGTGTTAGTTTGTAGTGGTGTTGGGAGTGTGTTAGTTTGGTAGTGGTGTTGGGAGTGTGTTAGTTTGGTAGTGGTGTTGGGAGTGTGTTAGTTTGGTAGTGGTGTTGGGAGTGTGTTAGTTTGGTAGTGGTGTTGGGAGTGTGTTAGTTTGGTAGTGGTGTTGGGAGTGTGTTAGTTTGGTAGTGGTGTTGGGAGTGTGTTAGTTTGGTAGTGGTGTTGGGAGTGTATTAGTTTGGTAGTGGTGTTGGGAGTGTGTTAGTTTGGTAGTGGTGTTGGGAGTGTGTTAGTTTGGTAGTGGTGTTGGGAGTGTGTTAGTTTGGTAGTGGTGTTGGGAGTGTGTTAGTTTGGTAGTGGTGTTGGGAGTGTGTTAGTTTGGTAGTGGTGTTGGGAGTGTGTTAGTTTGGTAGTGGTGTTGGGAGTGTGTTAGTTTGGTAGTGGTGTTGGGAGTGTGTTAGTTTGGTAGTGGTGTTGGGAGTGTGTTAGTTTGGTAGTGGTGTTGGGAGTGTGTTAGTTTGGTAGTGGTGTTGGGAGTGTGTTAGTTTGGTAGTGGTGTTGGGAGTGTGTTAGTTTGGTAGTGGTGTTGGGAGTGTGTTAGTTTGGTAGTGGTGTTGGGAGTGTGTTAGTTTGGTAGTGGTGTTGGGAGTGTGTTAGTTCGGTAGTGGTGTTGGGAGTGTGTTAGTTCGGTAGTGGTGTTGGGAGTGTGTTAGTTCGGTAGTGGTGTTGGGAGTGTGAGAGTTCGGTAGTGGTGTTGGGAGTGTGTTAGTTTGGTAGTGGTGTTGGGAGTGTGTTAGTTTGGTAGTGGTGTTGGGAGTGTGTTAGTTTGGTAGTGGTGTTGGGAGTGTGAGAGTTTGGTAGTGGTGTTGGGAGTGTGAGAGTTTGGTAGTGGTGTTGGGAGTGTGAGAGTTTGGTAGTGGTGTTGGGAGTGTGAGAGTTTGGTAGTGGTGTTGGGAGTGTGAGAGTTTGGTAGTGGTGTTGGGAGTGTGTTAGTTTGGTAGTGGTGTTGGGAGTGTGAGAGTTCGGTAGTGGTGTTGGGAGTGTGAGAGTTCGGTAGTGGTGTTGGGAGTGTGAGAGTTCGGTAGTGGTGTTGGGAGTGTGAGAGTTCGGTAGTGGTGTTGGGAGTGTGAGAGTTCGGTAGTGGTGTTGGGAGTGTGAGAGTTCGGTAGTGGTGTTGGGAGTGTGTTAGGTGGGAGGTGGTGTTGACAGTGTGTTTGCTTAATGGTAATAGTGGCATTGGGAGTATTTTGGAGGGTGATGGATTATAATGAAATTTGGATTGTTTGGTTGTAGCGGTGTTGGAAATATCTTAGTTGGAGTGTTGTGCTGGTATTGGTAGGTGATTGTGCTGGTGCTGGGAAAGTATTCACCTAGTTGTGTTTGCGGGGGTTGAGCTTTGCTCTTTCGGCCCGCCTCTCAACTATCAATCAACTGTTACTACTTTTTTCCCCACATACCACACACACACCAGGAAGCAGACCGTGACAGCTGACAAACTCCCAGGTACCTATTTACTACTAGATAACAGGGGCATTTAGGGTGAAAGAAACTTTGCCCATTTGTTTCCGCCGGGTGCGGGAATCTAACCCGCGCCACAGAATTACGAGTCCTGTGCGCTATCCACCAGGCTACCAGGCCCCCCAGTGTTACTTTGGTAGAGTTGGTCGTAGGGGTGTATTGCTGGGTGTTGTGGGATGTGTTTTAGGGAGTTTGGACAGTATTAAGCGAGCGTTAGTGTGGTGGTGGTGCTGGTGTGTGTATTGTTGGGAGGTAATGAAGTTGGTTGTATAATCCTTGAAAGGTGGTGGTTGTTGAGAAATCGTTGTGGGGGTGATGCAGAACTGCTAGGAGTGTGGGCGTTGTGTTGCAGTAGGAACAAAGATGAGCATGTTGTATCTTAACTGAAGTCAAGTTTTTTTGTCGTATCGTGAAGTTGAGAATGGAGGTAGTTTCCTTTACTCGGCCTTACAGTGCTTTCTACTTGCTGACCACCATTAGGCCTATAAGTATTTCCTTACGCTTCTTGGACAAATTTAGTTTTGTATTCTCCATTTTTTTAGGCACTTCTCTTTCACCTAGTCTGTTCCCTTCAGTATTTTGTATGAAGTATTAAATCACTGCTTCTCTTCTTATAAAAGCAACTCTGCCTCAACTTTTAAGTGTCCTCAAAGCTTGGGCAAGTCGTCCTTATTCAGACACTACGGTTTGGTTTAGTTGTGTGGAGCAGGTGGTAGTGGTGGTGGGGCTTGGTGTGTGGAGCAGGTGGTGGTGGTGGTGGGGCTTGGTATGTGGAGCAGGTGGTAGTGGTGGTGGGGCTTGGTGTGTGGAGCAGGTGGTGGTGGTGGTGGGGCTTGGTGTGTGGAGCAGGTGGTAGTGGTGGTGGGGCTTGGTGTGTGGAGCAGGTGGTAGTGGTGGTGGGGCTTGGTGTGTGGAGCAGGTGGTAGTGGTGGTGGGGCTTGGTGTGTGGAGCAGGTGGTAGTGGTGGTGGGGCTTG